TTTCCAACAGGTTTAGTTCATTGCAGAGATATCGTATCTTTCAACATTTATTAAATTATTTTCTCAGGCATCTGATGGCAAATATTGAACTCGAGGGAATGTCAACGACCTCTATGACAGTGTGACTCGGCTATTACCCATAATTTGTACTCAAATGATCTCAGTTTTTATAGCATTTAAATTCAAATACAAATCCCTCTACTAAAAAGTAATATCAGTTAAAACAACAGTTGGCTTTATCCGAGCACATTTTGAAGACGTCTACACTTATGATGGCATCTTTAAAAATCTAAATCTGTTTGTCTTTGGGAGTGGCAGTCTAGTTGTCAAAGTTTTAAAGGAGAATGAACTTCTGATCTAAAATCAAGAAGGCCTTTTTTTTTTTAAGAAGGTTCACTTGTCTCCGAGATGGTTGTACATGTTGAGCGTCACCATCAGTTTCCTGAGCTTTCGTCACGGTTGTAGTGCTTCCCCCATTAGCTGCAAACCACAAACATTGCTCATCAACGTCAACTGACACAATTTTAGAGACAAGGCGCTAGGATTTTTGAGTAGAATAATAATTTTACCAGACTTGCACGTTCTTGAAGACCATAAATGGAAATAATTAATAAAAAAATTAATCTTGTTTTTTTTTCTGAGGCAAATTGTACATTCAGTGAACTTTTTGCAAATAATATTTTTTTTTTAAATCTTTCAAATAATATATTATTATTGTTGTTTTTTATATGTTTTTATTGATATTATTTTTTAACAAAAATTGTTATAGTTATTGGTGATCTGCTTCTGCTGTTGTTTTATTGTCAGAGATTCTTTTTTTTTATTGTACATTTTTCCCTATTTCTTGTTTGCACAATATCCCAAAATTACTGCGAGCTACGCACGTGGCAGCTTCAAGGAACATTTGGCTTGGCCTGGAATATTCACAATAAGCTTTTCAATATGACCAGTCATGCGTGACGTCATCTACGCACAATTTTGCGTTTTTACATTATCGATCATATCATCCTAACAAATTGCCATTTCGAAATCATATTTAGTGAGCACAAACTTCAGGTCAAAGTTGAATGTTATGTACCTGAACTTTATGCGTGTGCATCATAACACGCGTACGCGGGTGTCAAAATTCTAAAATGCTCAAAATTAATTTTTTGACTAAATTAGAGCATGTTTCAGGCCATTTTGAGCATCTCAAAATTTTTCAAATTTTCTGCACCATGCGCATTTTTACACGCAGAGCACGTACGGAAGCTGGAAATTTAGTTTTTTAACATGTTTTAGGTTTCTGACACAGTATTCACAAAGTTCATCTTAGGGCCAATAGCAATGCCGTGTGCGCATCATAATGTGCGCGTACGCGTGCATTACAATTTTTCAGTGCTCAAAATCATGCCTATTTTAAATTAGCTATTGCTCCTTAGGATGAAAGGTGACCCCCAAATTTTTATTACATATTCTGAAAACACATGAGTTGTCGATATGATTTCATTGATCATATTGCTAATTGGACATTGTGACATCATCAAATTGCCATCTGAATACAAAACAAGGGTGACCGCTCAAATTAAAATATGGTACAGGCGCAAGTTACTATGTTATGTTTTTTTGAAGAGCTAATAAGATAGGAATTTTTAAAGAAATAGAATAGTTTATTTGTACAAAAAAAAGCATTACAGTATTTGGAATTAAAAATTAGGATAAATAAAATTGAACAAAAATAACTTCTTAAAATTGGAAAAAAAATATTGAATATCTATACGCGATTCAAACCCATGACCTTATGTTCTTTAGAACAAATGCTTAAGCGACCGTGCCATTCATGTGATGTGCCTTTTTAGTGGTAATGGCAATAATGTACAGTCCTGGCTGAAACCCCTGTTTTGTTTTGTAGGTGTAGGCAAAGATACTAGAAATACAAGATAGAGTTCTCACATTGTAAAAATGAGGCGGAAGTTGTGCCCAATGTAGGCGGCGCCCTTCTTTTTAACCATGGAAGTTTCCTATACTTCGTGCCCAACGTACAGGGCGCCCTTCTGTTGCTAAGTATATCCAGACGCAAAAGGCGCCCTTCCTTTTCCACTAATGGAGGAAAACTTTTTCACTAAGAGTGCGTCCGGCTATGCGATTCTGCGCTGTATTGTTGTTTTATTCTTTACTGATTCATGATTATGCTTTGATTATTTTGTGTATTAATTGGATAATAGCAACGATTTCTACCGCCACCAAGTAGGTTATGTATTCACCAATGTCACTGTCTGGGTGTCTATTCCAGTTTGTTTTTATATCTAGTATCTTTGTTGAGAATTGATATTAAAATACACGACGACTTGGTAACGAAAGTTTGGCACAAGTTATTTTAAGATCCAGCTGTAGGGGGCGTCCCATTTTTCGTATTCCCACCATGCATTTCGGTGGAACACGGTGGAACACTTTTTTTGTGTGGAGAACTCTATCTTGTATTTCTAGTATCTTTGGTGTAGGGGAATGTGTCATTTATTTTTTACTTTGATGATGTCATCATGGTAAAAATGAATGTTTTCTGACCTCTCCCCCACCTCTTAGACTATAATTTTTATTTATATTTTTCTTTTTTTATTTCTATTTTAATTTTAAAGAATTTGGGGGATAGGTTTTGAAACTTCTCAATCCCCCTCCCCCTCCCCACCATGAATCCAACAGTGGTATGCACCATTGAGCATATGAGTAACATTTAGTCACATAATTATTTTAATAGTAAGTTGTTAGCATTATAAATAGTTCTAAGCATTACAAGAATGTCACAATGAACATTTCTAGCAAGGTTGTTGCTCGTATTTTTACATAAATTTTGTATAATTTAAAAACGTACATAACACTGAAACTGCCATACACTGTTTTCTCACATTTGTTATTTAATAAAAGTTTTTGATTTATTGCAAGTTTAATAGTTTTCAATACAAAACACTATAAAAACTTGTTTTATGGTATTGCTTAAGCCAGACACTCAGTTCGCCGTATGACGTTTTTACCATCTGTTGCATGCGCAGTAACGTTCTCTGTAGAATCGCGTCGACCGACGACCATCAGGCACAGCAGTTGCCCAGCTGTAAAGATACTTTTGTGAAGGTTGGACATTAGACATCTGGCTTAAAAAAAACAAATTATAATGTATACAGTATAGTGAAAATTTTGAATCGTCCGTAAACATATGTTTAGTATGTAGCAAAGACAGACCAGTCACTCGTTGCAAAACTCGTTTTTTAGTTATTAATACAGGGTTAAAGAGTAAAATCAGAGCTATATAATGGTAAGAGAATCATTAAAATCCAACATTTCATTATGAAGTTACATGAATTTAGACATACAGCTGTTTAAAGAACAATATTTGAGAAATCAGCCTTCAAAGTTTATGGTTTTGTGCATTTCTCAAGCAGAAACCATCACCAAGTCATTAAAAATTGATGTTTTAACATTTGAAATGAGGAAAATAAAACAGCATAGCATGATATAGATATATAAAGGTTAGTTTAGTGCAATAAAATAGATTTCAAAAAATTCGACATTCCAGCATGTTTTGGTCAATATCGCTGAAACAGGATTTGCAACAAGTGACATGGTTTGGCTTGTCTTTGCCACATATATAATTTTACATTATATATAGAATATCTCTTTTTTTTTAAAATAAATAAATAAGTTATGAAATGATGATGCTTGTGAAAGTGATAGGAGGCTTGCTAAACAAAGTTTGGCAAATGAGGGCAGCAAACCAGTTATTCAAATTCACAATACTGAGTACTTAAATGTTTTCCACTTTCCACAAGGAGTACATAGTATTAAGTTACGTTTCCTTACTACGGTAGTAAATCCTTGCTGAGCCACTAGTGCCCATAGAGCCTGGAGCTTATCCCCAGTTTCTGTAGCATGTACCTCTGCGTGGGATGCTCGAAGTAGTCTTCTGGTACCCATTAATACAGTCAGATAGACTTTTAAGCAAAGAAAGTTAGAGCATCTTTCAACTCCTGTTGCATCGTTGTATTTGGATATTAACTGGAACCTGTTTTTTACGGTAATTGTCATTCAGCAACCACCACTGTTGTTACTAGGTTCTCATTTCTTTTTGTAATTGTCTGCCAGTCACCAACCCCTTCTGGCTTCCTATTAATTGTTCGGTTGTTGAATCATCAATCAGAGTGCTTACTTTATGTGAAAGGATCTGAATTTTACTGAAATAAATCACAAAATGTGATTTATTTCAGTAACATGTATTTTCTTGTCGCAAATCCTGTTTCAGAGATAATGGTCAAAACATGTTGGAATGTATA